AAAGGAATCCTTCATCGTCCTTTAGTCAAGTTGTGCCCTTTACCACTTGAAACAAATTAATTGAATGGCTGTCGAACATCTGTGTATATAGTGTCCGTTTTTTTTTCCGATTAGATATACTTTATATTTCTATATAGTTTTTTTTTTTTTTCTTTTTGTTTTGATATGGAATAAGTCTTTCCAAATATTGTTTTTCTTTGAGTTAGAAAAATGCTAATTTTCAAATCGCATTTTTGGCGGCCGGCAATGTTAGGTTTTGGAACGAAAAATATTAAAGTTTCATTTTTGAATGTGGTCTTGCGCGAAAATGGAGGTAAAAACAGTGAACCCAAGGCAGATCGCAAAAAGTCTTCAGCGACAAATTTGTGCCTCGATTCACCGATATTCAGTATTGGCTTGACCGCCGGACTTGCAATTTTCGTTCGTTCGATACGAATTTCACTACTTCGCTTTTTCCGCTATTTCCGCTTATAAATTATTATTTCGCTAATTCAATATAATGCAACAGTGATCTTCGCATGAGCAATACATTGCTGCTTTTGCTACGTTATAAGAACAGGTGCTACACTTTGAAGAATACCGGCATCCAGGGAGCTCCCGAGAAGTGACAAATCCAGCTTTCTTGGATTTCTCTAAAGAAGATACCACTGATCGTCTATGGTAAGCTGTTTTGACTCCTCGCTATATCATACCACAATTTAAAAGTTAGTTTTGCGCCTTTGATTAGAAACAATTCATTTTTCTTGTACCACATTTGAGCTATTGAATGCCTTTGTGGCGCACAGCAACATCACATCCCTATGCAACTACTACTTTACCATCTATCCAAACAATCATCAACATCCCCTTATCATTTGGGAATATAACACCATTAATTGACAGAAGGTTTTGGGGTCCTCGAATCGTCCCTTCAATAAGCCAACAACCTGCTTCTAAGTTTGGGGGGCAACGAACCGACAACTCCAGTATAATGTCAAACAATGATCTAACACAAGTAATTTCTACGGTTATGAAACAACAAGATAGTATAGGTCAAGTAAATACAAACAAGTAATTAGTAGTGTCAATGTACAGGGTTAGAAGGGGGTCTAGCACATATTCTTTGTTAGAATTAAGTAAACTCATTCCAGTTTTCGATGATGAAGGGCTATTGCAGCCATTAGACTTTTTCGATATTTCAGAAAGTTGCATTGAGATAAACCAAATTTTTTTCAGTAGGGTTAAAATCTTATGGAATAATTATTTCAGTAAATCGGCAAAATTGTGGTAGGACGCTTTCTCGTCTGTTTTCGTCAGTTACGATAATTTCAAAACTGAGTTTACCCAACACTTATGTCCTGCTAGAAAACAAGAAAAAATTAGACCAAAACTAGAAACTTCAGAGAGGGATTATTTGTGGATCATTTTAACTACTGGATCTAACATCTAAAGAAAAAACTGACACCTGAGCAATTAATTGATTATATCGCACCTCATTTTCCCCCTCCGGTGGCAGGAGATCTGATAGGTTGAAAAAATTTGACCCAGGCCCTGTCTCGATTAGGTCATGCCGATCATTATTATAAAAATGTTCAAATCAATAGTTCAGCTTCTCGACCTGGGGAACAAACCCAGTATGCTTTTCGAGACAGAGGGGGACAAGGTGTTTTTAAGAGTGAAATTCCTGATGAAATCGGAAGGAGAGCAATTGCGTCTCTGGCGGTAGAGGGCGACACTGTAGAACCGGAAGGAAACTGCTAACTTCCTCACACAATAATTTTTGTGTGGGGGTCATCTCTAGAAAAATTAGTAAAAATCCTTTAGATTAACTTCTTGAAGAATGTGATTCCACTCACAATGTTGACCTTCTCATTAGGTATGAATTTGCACACACATTTTTAGTGATAGCTGGTTAATCTGACCTAGTCATATTAGGATGTGAATTTCAAGGTTTTTTGAAGTAGTAATCAATTTACCGAAGCGTTTTATACACATAAATCGTGAAGGTGTTTTCATAAAGATTCCTGGAATTGGAAATTATGATACCTTAAGTTCACCAACTCTTTATATATGTCATGTATTATGAATAAAACTCTTAATGCACCGGGCATCTTGGTAAATGAAATTGAAACGGATTTCACCAGCGTTTCAACGACGTGTAGTTCATCCAAGGACGAAGGAACCCGAATATTTTTTTCGGCCAGGCCGGGCCGTACGACACGATATGTACATGAAATTAAATTGAAAGATACGTCAGGGTTGTATGTAAAACCGTACCCAATTCCAGTAGGGTACCGTGATGCAGTAGAAAAGGCAATTTCTGATATGGAATCATGGAAAGTCATGAAGAGGGACGGCACCGTCCGGGTATGCCTTGACGCGCGGAAACTAAATTCCTTACTGCAACCCGATCACGAACTACCTAGGCCGATAACGAAATAATTGAATTATTTTCCGGAAAAAAAATCATAAGCTCCCTTGATCTCACTCACGGATATTGGCAGGTCCCTCTGAGAGAGGAGGACAAGCAGTATACAGGCTTCATAGTAGGCACTCGGACTTACCGATTTTGTGCTTTGTCGTTCGGTTTGTCCACAGCAGTGAGCTCTTTCACCCGCTGTATGGACACTATCTTCGGCGGTGAGTTCAAGCATATTTTAATCATTTAGGTGGATGACCTCAAAGAAGCGGGTCTAACGTTAAAATTAACAAAATGTAAATTCTTTCCGAAAGAAATGCCTTATCTAGGGAACCAGATAAAGACAGGACAGGCGGTTGCAGATTATTCGCCCTCAAAAAACGTGAAGGAGCTACAGCGTTTCCTAGGTCTATGTCAATACGATCACATATTCACCTAAGTTTGCTGAGGTAACTTTCCCTTTGAAGAAACTATTGCGCGAAAATAGCCCATGGTGTTGGGAAGAAATGGAACGAGCTTTTTCAACCTTGAAAAGGGAATCGGAAGTGGCCACCCTCCTTTACCACCCTGATCCGAATTCGGACTCGCATGTCCAGTCAGACACAAGCAATGTAGGTATCGCAGCTATTCTACCAAATGCATGGGAAATTATACAAAACTGTACTTACCAAATGGTTTTGTTATTAAGCTTATAAAAAATGTCATTCAATGGTATAAATATTAATTATTGTATCAATAATTATCATATCAATATCTAACAATTTTAAAAACCATAACCTACTTGTGATACAAAGTTAATGGGGGTGAGTTAGTTCTCTTTGGAGTCATTTTAGTTCCCACTTCCTATCCTAGGAATTATTTCAAGAATTTTTTGATATCATCTTTAGTCTGTGAGACAAGGTCCATTTTGAGTTTTCAAATTGTCAGTGTACCTATGTTCATGCGTTCAGCGAATCAGACACCATTTTAACTTTCTTCAGTAGAGGCGAAGCACAAATAGTAGCTCTGGAAAAGAGCAGAGAAGACGTGCAGATAATTATTGTTCTATTCAGCAAATAGCAATCGAGGAAGGAAGAAACCGCAAATGCTGGAAAGCGCTGCATTCTGTAGCATCATACATCTGAGGAAAGAAACTGTTTCGATTTCTCCAAGGCTTCCACAAAAAACAGCTTGCCAGCAAAAACCTTACTACACATTGAAATAATACTCATATGTTTATTTTACAGAAAAGATGATGGAATCCCAAATAGATATGGAAGAATGGATAATCGAATAGTCGGAATGGAATCTTCCTGAAAGTTACAGAATTTCAAACTTTACCTGACATTTTTGTAAATCAGTGATGAGAGGCTAACAGATGAACCTGTCCGTTTGCTTTGCGAGACGTCTAATTGGACATTTTTTAGCCCGTATAGTACATAGCTAAACTGTTATGGTTGTGTAACTCTATTCCAATGATAACTTTATCAACTAAATGACCACAAATGTCCTTTTGAAACAGTTGCATTCGTATTTGCATATAATATTGTGCACTTACGTCCGTATCATTGTGAACAGGTGTTGTTTAATTCGTATATTTTTTTGGCTCAGAAAACGGGAGGGTTCCAACCATTGATATAGTATACCGGTTGTAAACGAATCTATTAAACAAGTAATAACTTCTGTAGAATATAAGGTGAATCAAGGTATCTGGATTCCATATTTTCATTAAAGACGTAGTTTCACTATACAAGAAGCAATTGATGTGGCATATAAGGCAGGGATTGAGATAATTTTCATCGAACCATTTGATTGCGGTGTTTCGACGATCAACGAATGAAGATTCTGGATAAGATGGTGATAGTGGACAAAATAAACATTTGAAAACTGTGTATTAAATCTGAAGTGAGAATAATAAAAATTAACAGAATTCTTAAAGCTACCACTGAATGCTGCTTGAAACCAAGCCTAAATAGGTTTGGTAAGTACTAGCAATTATTATTATTATCGAGATGATACTCCTTCAGATTTCTTGTTGCATTTTGCTCATAGACTTGTTAGACAATTAATGGACAGTGAAACAAATCGGAATGGATGAAGATATTACCAGGAGTCGGATAGCAGTTACATGTAAAATATGGAGATGGTATTCATTTACGTCGGTGAATGCATTCAAATTACATAAAAATTGAAGAAAAAGTCTGGGTGTAGTTTGTCTTAACGTGTTTTATGCCATCCAATCATACAAGGCTATCTGCATCAAATGTTTTGCAGTTTCATTCAAAATAAGGGTTGGTTCAATTACAGTTTTTTACTTACTCCATGCGCCAATTTAGGAGTAGTACTGCTATTTTGAATGAAACAGTAAATCATATGCGGCCATCTTCAGCCGAACAATGAAATTGAGAATTCGTAAATCGAATATCGATTCTAGTACCTCATGGTCAATGTCCGAGTGGAAATCAACCGTGCTAGCCCCACTCCCTATCTATGTGATGTCTGCAAAAATCTATATGCCATAAAACCACAGCAATATTGAAGTATCTTTCGGCTGGACAGATTAGATGGCTCAACATTATTCCTCAAAATTGATAGAAAAATATACCCATATTATATGACGTACCTGGCATTATGAAAGCAGGACTAACAGCTTCTGTGGTGTTCATTGTTATCTTGTAACACAATGTGGTATTCAAATCAACAATGCTTTTCGACATGTTGTAGAACTTGAATGCCTGTAACAAGAAATGAACAATCAATTTAAATACTTCATCAGACTGAAGATACTTACATAATTTCTAGGTTTATTCGTGCAATTCACATCACCCTTTTCTACTACTCCTGTTAGCCACCCTAACGTAAGCGAAGTAAATGAAGTCATAAAATTGGTCACATGATCGACGCCAACATAAAGACTGAAGGGAATTTTTGGCAGTTTCTGAAAAATGAGAAGCAAGTTGAAAAATATATGTTTCTAAGCAATATGCAGGTGAGGTTTGTTTGTGAGTATCATAAGTAATGTGCTATGTCCCAGCTCATCAAAAATAGCTTGCATCTAAACAACTAATAAGTTTATTTTCATTGCTAAATGCGAATAAATGTAAGAGTGTATGTAGAAATTTCGGATATTAGAAAATTCAATTTGTCAATTGTTAGAGTATCAAGATGACGTACCTATTTTCTGAAAATAACTAGTTTGGATTATGTCAAGATATACAGTGCGAGGCAGATTCCTGTTCTTAAACGAAATTCTTGAGCTTCCCAAAATTAATATCTGCACCACCTATCCCTTCTTTGACTGAAGAAATAATTTTTCCTACTTCTCGTTTTGCTGGAAATGGTATCAACTTTCAATTCTCAAATTGAACATCCTGTATCGAATTTGAATAAAATCGCTGGTTCACGAGAGTTCCATGATAGTTGCAAGCCTACATCTAAATATAAAAGTACGATGTTCTTCGAACATTTAAGTGATTCCCTTTCGTGCGCTCCAAGAGATAAAAGAACATTTTGATCGCAATTTATGATTGATATATTAGTTAGATTATTTAAAAAATTGGATTCAAAGAAATCTGCGAGATGACAAACAGCACCTGTTGAATTTTCATTTCACTCATTAATAAATAGAACTTAATGAAAAAAGGCAATTATCAGTTTTTGAGTAAGACACCCATCTTCGACGGCCATATTGCATTTTCCCGTCATGAAGAATCTGATGATAATGATAATAATAATATAATAACGAGGTTTTTTCACTGTTCATTTAACATTCAACTTTCAACATTTGAATATTTTCATACTTTTTTCGCCAGAATGAGGAGTTATCATTGAATTACAATATGACGTGATGAAATAATCACATTACTTACAATAATCATATTAACGACAATTATAATATTTCAAGTATCAGTAGAAAACGAAGTTGTACATAATCTGGGAATCCCAGAGCCTTTAGGCCAGCAGATATTGGGTTATCTAGCAAACAAAACATTTCAAAACATCAGCCTAGGAGAGCTAAATTTAATGGTACTCAAGATTCAGAAGTATTCACTATGAGTAGCAAGAATATGGTATAAATTCGGCAGCCTTGTGTCAAACAATCTACTAGGAACCACCCGTTACTTTGGTTTTTCAAATCGCACTCCCATGTTTTTTTCGGCTCATCTTATTTTTCATTCTCAATTCTACTACACATCATGAGCGATATAGCGTTATAGACAAAATCATGAAGAAGTAAATGATTTTGCAGGTTCTTTATGCTGATTGAACACCCAGTTATTCCTTGAAAAAATCAGAGCTACACACGAAGTCTGAAAAGGCGGAATAAGGTGAGTGTAACAAGTGAAAACAGTCATTTCAAACAATCATTCAAGAAAGGACCGATATTTTTTCATATATAATACCACAAGTGATGATATTTTGCCGGAAATATTCGGTGATTGTTACGACAGCTTGTTGCCTAGTAATTTCGTGAATGACATTGTTATCAAAACTACGGGCCGTAGGCGAGTAGTTTTGAATGAACCATCGACCTTCGTATCTCCTCCATCACCTGGTAATTATATTTTATATTAGTCACAATAACTTGAGTGATTGAAGAAGATTACCTTAAAAAGGAATTTTAATTCTAGTATTGTTGTGTCAGACGTCATCAAATATGCAAACTTTTTAAATTACACATGAAACGTCCAGCCAGAATAAAATTGTCTCGCCTTTCGTACAAAATGTCTCACTAACGCGAATTATAAGTAAATAAAATAAAGTAGGAACTTAGGTTATTGTCTCAGATTTGAATCTGAAGCAATCTTGACCAGACACAATGTCAAAATTTTATCGCTGATAAACGAGGTTTGTTGGTCACGTGTGGGTCAATTCGGCTTCTGTATTGGTAGAGCAAGTCCGATAAAATTTAATAAACAAAAAATATCGCTAGAATACAGAAGAAACCGTGAAAATGGTCGATTCTGATTGGTTCTCGAGATCAAGAGTGGAATAGTCATAAAAATTATTGAATATTTGGTATTTCCGGAGATGAATTTCTTGCTAAATATCTAGTCCGATATATTACTGAATTGTGAATGAAAAGTTGGTTTCTAGTAGATTGTTTGACATGAGAGTGATTCGATTTCATTGTCTTGAAGATGTTTTGCTCCCATATATTCCACAATTTTGATTTTTTTTTTGTATGTTAGAAAACCCAGATAACTGCTGGCCTAAGAGCTATGGGATACACGGCATATGTTCAATCGTTATTAGTAACCCAGATAACTGCTGGCCTAAGAGCTATGGGATACACGGCGTATGTTCAATCGTTATTAGTATACTATATGGAAACAATTTGAGATTTGATATCCAAGGCAGGGAAATATATTCACAATAATCAGGTCATTATAAAGATTTTGATATCCAATAAATGAGATATTAGGGGAGCAACTCAATTTTCGAAAAACCAGTTTAGTATGAAATTATACGACTAATTCCAATGTTTTTTTATTTTCGTTATCAATTTCATGCAAACAATCAGAGTAAGGATCTTAGACATGTCTCATTTCCATTTTTATGTGTATAATTAGCTGTTTTATTTCAATATCTAATGATTTGAATATTCGAGATAACAAGTAAGTAAAAGAACGCTGGCCAAGAGATTTTTTCACATTGCCGTTTTAGAAAATAGTTCTGATTTTTGTCTAGGTTACGAATCTTATTTTTATGTTTGTATAGGTCAATAACTATATTTCGGAAAAATATTTGTCGAAGATCAAAGCATTCGGCTTATTTGAAAAGTTCATCTGTGGAGTGTCTGTTTCTCTTTTGGACTAATATTTATAAAAATAAGTTCAGTAATACTGCACCACCCCAAGCAATAAGTATTTCATAGTTCATTCGTGATAAGTGCATAATAGTGAATGAATACTTCGAATGTTCAAAAAATATTTCATTTTATGTATAAAAAATCTCAGAGCATTTGTAACACTTTCTATTTGGATGTCCCATCTTAAGTGATCGTCCAGTGTAACACCTAAGTATTTAATGTATTCGCCTGATGTGATAGTGCATATTTATTTCAATGTGATTAACAGGAATCTGAAATGTTCAGTAATGGGGAAGGCTATTTTTATATGCAGTAAATAGCAGATACCTAGTCATTCTATAGGTACCTAGTAGACAGTGAGAAATTTCTGGTTAAACCAGTTCAATATATTTTGAAAATGTGCTTCTATTTTATTTTTTAGGCCTTTCCAGGACTTATCTTCGTATAAGACAATATTTTCATCAAAACTGTATATTTCCCCTTGGCTTTGCAAGTAGACTATATTATTCAGATGAATATTGAATAAGAAAGGTCTAGAACGGTCCCTTGTGGTTCACCATAAGAAATATTTTTCTGTGAACTACTTTTCCCGTTTACGTTAGCAAGTATATTGTTTTTTGTTCTGGATATAACTTTCAAATAATTTCGAATAAAAAGAAACAACAATGGTAGATTTCGGGAGAAAAACAACTACTTTCCTGGCTCATGCCACGCAGAACATTGAATTACATCCTCCCGAAATCTATGCATCGACTCATATAAACGAATACTGATACAAGTGATTCTTTCCTGAATGCCTATTGATTTCGATTTAACCAGACCACGCTAGACAACCACAGACCGGTTTTGAGCTCTTTGACTCTCATCAGTGCAGTGTAGTCTCCAGCCAGCAGTCCTAAGACCGCCGACTCAGCGAAGCCTAGCCAAACAAAAATCAAGTCGGCATTATATTCCCTCAGAGGCGTCTTTCATCGACAATATGAAAGCAACGAAATCTACCATTGTTGTTCATTTTATGAACATGGTGTGGAAATGACTTTGAGCTTTTTGTATTTTTTTAACATTTCATTCCACTTTGAGCATTGTGGCTATTTCGTAGTTGAAATTACGCCAGTCGGGCAACCAGCCACTCCCGTATGGGAATTTCAGTTCTGAAGTGATTCTTTCTATCTGTTCTACTCAGATGGCGTTGCTTTCATATTGCCGATGAAAGACGCCTCTGGGGGAATATAATGCCGACTTGATTTTTGTTTGGCGAGGCTTCGCTGAGTCGACGGTCTTAGGACTGCTGGCTGGGGACTACACTGCACTGATAAGAGTCAAAGAGCTCGAAACCGGTCTGTGGTTGTCTAGCGAGGCCTGGCTAAATCGAAATCGATAGGCATTCAGGAAAGAATCACTTGTATCAGTATTCGTTTATACGAGTCGATGCATTGATTTCCAGAGGATGTAATTCAATGTTCTGCGTGGCATTAGCCAGGAAAGTAGTTGTTTTTCTCCCGAAATCTACCATTGCTGTTCATTTTATGAACATTGTGTGAAAATGACTTTGAGCTTTTAGTATTCATTTAAAGTAACTATCAAACTTTATTGGTAATAAGGATGAAAACTAATCTCACTTTAGTTAAATGTGAATTAAGAATCAAGATCTCAATCCTAACCTGTAGGTTAATAAGGAAGACTAGTATTGTTTGTTTTGATTTCTCTTCTGGAATAGAACATCAACAGTTTTGAAGACAGTCGAAGAGCTACATTCAGCTTCACATCTAATAATATTATTCATCTTGAATCTATAGTGGTATACCATCACTCGTTCAATGATCTCTATCACTCATTGATTCCACTTCCATTATATTCATCAGAGGAAATGTGTTTGATTGAGGACCTTAACCATATATTTCAATATTCCATCAGTCCATTCGAACAACTCCTTCATGAACAAAGGCATATATTATATCCAGGATATTTTTGATAATGATCTGTATTTAGGAACTATACTTTCATTTTCATATATTTCTCAATACAATGAGTAGTCATGATCATATTTTAACAATGATTCACTTCAGATTTTCCAAAGTAAACAAAACTCAAAAGTAATATTAGGTTAGTGAGAGTGCCTGAAATTACCCAAACTGATGAATTATTTTCACAAAAAAACAATAGTCGTAGAAGTAAACTATTCAGATTTTATTTATCACTAACCTATTACCCACCGAAGCATTATGAAAAATAGTAATTAAATAACATAATAAAACTACATTTTCAAAGTCGCAAAATCATGTTCTACATGCATTTTCTATGAAAAATCGTTTCGCGGTTTTCACGTTTTCCACACGGACCCCTGGCGTCGCGTAGTGAGTAGAAGGGCAGACTGGTAGTAATAAGGTCCATTCCGAATTATGTTTTGCATCATGTATGAGTTCACCTTTTCCTGATCTAATTTTTTTTCATCTCAATATTTTGAGTTTGAAATTCGCTAGATGGCCGTTCACGATAGAAAAAAATGTGTGATTCATGGTCGTAATCCTGGCAGCACCTCGATGCCCTAGACATGGTTCGGATTCCACTATATGCTGTAGGTCCTGCTCTTCCTAACCCTGCACAAGTTTCGATTTCTGGGGAGTTGGTTTCCAACCAACTTTGAAGTAGCGATATACAAATTTTCAAAAAAATAAATTTGTTTTCCAAATTACTATTTATTATGTAGGTATTTCATAAGTGGAGTTACAGTAAAAATGATTAGTACAGCTAGGTTAACTTACACACTCTGTACCTCTGAAAATGCTTGAGGCTTGAAACACCATCAAGTTTAAGAATAGAATAAAGCAACATCTCCACAAGTATTGCTTCTACTCACTGGAAGAATATTTTCAAGCTGAACATGAGGAATAACTTGCTTATGTATTAGTATTATTATGGATGACTTTACTATCAATGTGTATCTGTATTTTATTTATTTCTATTTGTTCTATATTTTTAATCTGTATCAAGAAGATCTTTATGTTGCTTGTCTCTCAACATTATTTCATGTATAGTTCTATTTATAGTTCTAACTCTTTGTCCTGCTACAAATGTACAGTGTGTTCAGTTTTCAATGCTTTTGCGCGATATCTCAGTTAGGTACCTTTGGAGAAAGAATGATGTGGTTTTCACATCACTCACCTCACTTTTTGTGAAACGAATAATTCCGCGCACAGAATTTTCAGATTCCTTCATGTTTTCAAGATACGTGGCGAAGTTGGAAATTCTCACTTTTTGAACATCTCCCGTATCTTGGTTAATTTTCAACTTATCGGCAGGATGAGAATAGGTCCTTAAATAACTGTGTACGTATAAAACAGTCGCGTTCTCATTTTATTTCTGTAATCGCTCATTTTTGGAAAATGAATCAAATATCTTATATATGTTTATTCAGTTCGATTCAGATTTCTTATAGCTCATCAAAAATATATAATAGATTTTGGATCCATTTTCTAAAACTGAGCGATTACAGAAATAAAATGGGTACGGCACTGTATTATCAGACCACGTTCTCATCCAGCCGACGATGAGTTGTAAAGTGACCAAGAAACGGAAGTTGCTCAAAAAGTGAGAATTTTCATCTTCGCCCTGTATCTCAAAATCATGAACGACTGTGAAAATTAAGTTTGCGGCATTCTTCGATTCACAAAAAGGTAAGGCTGCAATGTGAACACCGCAACACTATCTCCAAAGATAACTGAGATATCGCGCAAAAGCATCGTAAACTGGACACACTATACAGTGTACGTGATGTGATTAAATAAAAGTATTCCATGGCATGCACTATGAAGTTTACGATCAATATTTGAAATTCCTTGTATATCAATAAACTTTATAATTTCGTACTTACATTACCCCTTTGTATTGCTCGGTGCACTCTGCAATTTGGATCTTCCAGGTAACAATATAGTAATTCATTCGCCTGAAAAAAAAATACTTGCATGAACAATAATAATTGTTGAAATGAATAATGCATATGATCTTCATCATGTGAATGTTTGGGTGTTGCACCTAGTGAGACTGAGATATAAAGTGCGGTTTTTCAGAAATATATTCAACATGGTGACCTTGAACATAGTACTGGAACTGGTTGAAGTGGGGGACGTTTGCACGTCAGCAACTAGTCCCTAATGGAAACTTTTTGAAAGCCCCAATGTGTGTAAAGAGTGATGTGGTTCGCTTGAGAGAGCTGGATAACACCATTTTCAGGTACCGTCCATCAGCTCTCTTTCAGAGTTTTTCGGTTGTGTTTTGTAGGCTAGTAATGTACCTACTACCATTTTGTTCCAGGGCAGGCCTGCCAGCAATTCTCGTTAACCCCCACTAAGCAGCATTGGCCCGCTCTCACGCTCAGCAGGTGCTTTTCCACGTCCACCTACATACACCGCTTCAGTTCTTCTCTGATGCTCACAACCACATCATCATCATTTCTTTATGTTTTCTCTGTGTATGCTTTGTTACTAACTTCATGTGCCACTTTAGGAGCAGCACCGTTAATTGGAACGCAACAGTGAATCGTGCAGGACTGTCCCCAGCCGATGCTCCGAATCCTTGCGATATTTAGTTCGTAAATTTAACATTAAAATAGTTCCTCGACCAAACTGGGATTCGACCACACGGGTCGGCGCTCTTCAACTGCGCCTGTCCCGTCCGTTATTTGTCTAGATGTTCACACTACCTCTCATTTTTTTCCAAGAAAATTGTTTACAATACCCTAATTCTTCCATACCTCAATTTTTGTTTAACAATTCTATATCTTCTGAATCAGAATGATTTGAATAGAATACAAAAATTGCAAAACAGAGCAATACGTATTATATTAGCATGTAATAAGTACACACCCATAAGGGATATGTCAAAAAGTTAAAATTGGCTGCCTATTGAGGATTATTTCGAATTTTTGGTATTGGTATTTGTTTTTAAAATACAAAGAGGTGAAGCACCAAATTATTTGGTAAATAAGCTGACTTATAATGAAGAAATGCATCATCATAACACCAGACAAAAAGAATACTTTTTTATTTTACCGAGGAGTAAAAGATTGGCAGAAAATTCCGTTTTTTTCAAAGGATTGAAACAATATAATGATTTGCTATCTGACGTGAAGAATGCATTTTCCATCAATACATTCAAGACCAAGTTGAAAATGCATTCATTGAAACGAACCAAATCAAAATTTTGAAGATTTTAAATCGTTTATTTATAATGTCCTGTATTTTTATTGTACCTTTTGTGTTGATCTTAAGTTTGTGAATTAGGTTTCTAGATGTTCCTTGTTCGTTTAGATCTTATGAATGTTTTTATGTTACATTGACTTGTACACAAATTTATAATGTTATTGTTACAGCCCGCTCCTACCCCTGTTTCTTCTCTTGTTCGCTGGATCAAAAAAGGATGTATTTAAATTTCATATTTGCTTTTACTAAATGAATAAAAAAATTCTATTCTATATTCTACAATTATAATAGAATACTAGATGTGTTTAAATTCATTGAATATTTGTTTACATAGGTTCCTTTTTTTGCCATAATAAACAGGTATGATTGAAAATATAATGATCAACTTATTTGATCAATTCAAAGTTCATGTCTGTGTTATCATTGTGGTTGAATATGTTCCACTACACTTGATTTTTCGTATCAACCATAACTGAAATAGGCATTCCTTGAACATAGTATTGTCTCCTAGTTTGACCTATAGAAGGTGTCCCAGAACACCCTACCATAAATTCTTCAGGGTGAACTAGATACCAAAATAGGCTGATTGAACTGAACTTACCCCAATACGAAAATGCACCTTTGAGTCGTGAGAGGGCATTGAAGAATAATTCCAGTTCCAGACCTTCTTGAATATTTCAAAATCCTTGGAAAATGCTTGAAAAATACTTGAAAGGTTCTGCTCTAAAATTTGTGGATGTACATGAAAAATATGTCATATGATACCAATTCAATCAATATATAGGGAGATAGGTATTTCGGATACTCTTTGATAGAAATTGATGTAACTTTTTTGGACTACCCCACTGACCACGTTTTGATATTTCAATGAATGACAAAATCAAGTATCTAACTTTTTTCAAACTGCATTTTTTTCCTGCTTTTAGAGATATCTAACATAAGTCCATTATTTTGTTGCTTCTGCATACTTGTTTATGATGTGTCAGGATGATCATATTTTGCAAGTCTTTACCTCATTTGTGCTCAGTTAGTGACAACAGTAATTATGTTGATGAACTACTCCAGAATATGATTTTTTTGCGAAAAAAAGAAATAAAATTTGGAAATGACCAGCTCCCAGATCATATGATAATGAGCTTGCGAAATAGTGAAAATGAATATTGTGGTCAATAGCACAACACGAAAGAAGTAGAAACTTGCAAAACATGATAGGTAATCCTGGTAATAAACAAGTATGTAGAAACACCAAAATGATTTTTGTGAGATATCACGAAAACCAAGAATTATAAAAAAAATGCTGTTAGAAAAAAGTAAGATAATTGATTTTGTCAAAAAATTTACATCAAATTTCATCAAAGAGAATGCGGAATATTTATCTCCATTGGTATATGTTTTCCATGCACATTCTATTCTATTCTATTCTATTTTAGTAAATTGCCCCACGAATTTTAGAGCAGTACCTTTCAAGAATTATAAAATATTCAAGAGAATCTGAAAATGAAATTATTTTTCAACGCCCTCTCACGGCTCAACTATGCATTTTCGTATAGAGGGAAGTTGATATCAATAGGCCTATTATGATATCTAGTTAGTTCACCCTGTAGAATTTATGGTACGTTGTTCTGGGATATCTTGTGTAGATTGTTCATCAAATCGTTACATAATATAGGGGTATCAAGAAAGAATGTCATTTGGCAGTTGGGCGCATAATGATATTCCAGCGGAGACTAGCGAAGACGTACGATAGCAGAAACATGTTGCCATTCATATGCCCTATACAGGGTGAATTACGTAGGTGTAACGAAGTTACTTAATTTTTGAGTATTCTAATAGGACACACTGTATGTATCAGTTTTGAGAACTAATTGCCCTAACCAACAAGATATCGACACCGTTCTTTTTCGTAAGGGAGCTTCATAATACACCGGAAGTATTGCTGACATTGTCTTGAATGTGCGGGGTTGTATTTTGATAGGTATGATTATTGATAATAATTAATTAGGCAAGACGTCATTGCGATCGCTATAAGCAAGTCTCGATGTTCATCGATGAGCGCTAGGATGCCCCTCTGTATCGCGCGCCGAGAATAGTGGGGCAAACATAGATAAATCCGCGATCGCGCCCAGATGCCCAGAAACGAGAGTGTTCACTGAGACCGCAGCTGGACGCTACCACAGTAGAGAGCTTACGAGAGAGGAACTACTTGATACCGCAAGCAGTTAGGTGAGCCGAAACTATATTGCATTTAATAGCAGTGTTCTGCTGCACTCCGGTAGTTGATGACTGCATTCCTGCAATCAGCGAATAATATTCGGGTTGCAGGACGGCACGCAGGGGACTGAATTGCGTTCAGCGAATTATATTCGGGACGTAAGGTTGTCTATTGCTTATCGTCTCCTACCGGAGCTGATTTACTGTGAAGGTACTTGGTGCTTCTGTCGTGCATTCAGCGAATAATATTCGGGTTTGAGGACATGGTACTGGAGGGATGCTTTGCAATTCGGCGAATTATTTTCGGGATTTTTAGAGTGACCCTGAGGGGTGCTTTGCGAAACTATATTGCATTTAATAGCAGTGTTCTGCTGCACTCCGGTAGTTGATGACTGCATTCCTGCAATCAGCGAATAATATTCGGGTTGCAGGACGGCACGCAGGGGACTGCATTGCGTTCAGCGAATTATATTCGGGAAGTAAGGTTGTCTATTGCTTATCGTCTCCTACCGGAGCTGATTTACTGTGAAGGTACTTGGTGCTTCTGTCGTGCATTCAGCGAATAATATTCGGGTTTGAGGACATGGTACTGGAGGGATGCTTTGCAATTCGGCGAATTATATTCGGGATTTTTAGAGTGACCCTGAGGGGTGCTTTGCGATTCAGCGAATTGTATTCGGGTTTTGTGAAGGTACCTTTTACCTGCTGACAGTACCAAATATGTTTTGTATTGCACTTATCGCTTTTTGATGCATATATGGGTTTTGAAAATTAGATAGTATATATTTATGAGCTTTGCATGAATTCGTGAATTAACATTTTATGAATCCGGGAAGATCATAGCATCGCGGAACGGAGTCAATTTTCAAGCTTTCCAAGGGGGGTGTTGCAATTAGTATGCTTTGTATATATAGGTGGTAGTTTGCATATATATCAACGATTGGGAAGTAATTTGGGAATAATAAGTATTCCCTTGGCTCGCCAGCCCTCTTGTAAATATTTGGAAAATAAAATAATAGATGTATTTTAAATATTGTTTGTTTTATTTGTTAGGTTAGAATAACCAAGACCAACTAATGATCTGGGGACAAAATAAAACAACCTACATTCAGTCACTTTCGACAGATAGTAACTAATGACCCCTGGATTATACTCTCTCCACTGATAAGTTGCCCGGTGCAAAGTGAACCTACCACTATAATATAGGTGGCGCCCGAGTTATTGATAATTAACGAACACGCTTTAAAGTGCCAAAATGACATCTCAGAGTAGATAACGTTACATAGGACACACATTAGAAGTTTTTCAACTTGCAGTTGAATAAAGAACTTGAAAATTGGTATTCTGTTAATTGGTCATTGCCAATTTACCTGAAATCTTTTTAGTCCTCCAGCTATACAGGGTGTGCCATAAGTCGACAACTCCTTATTTCAAATGGAAAAATGGATGTAATAAAATGCTTCTGTCGGGTTTGGTGGAGAGCTGATCCCAAAACAATGATAATTGCATACAATGGACTTGTGAAATCACATTTAGATTGGGGTTCAATATTTTATAAACCTTGTACCAAAAAAAATCTAGAAAAGTTGATCAAAATTTTTTCTCAGTCTATGAATAATCACAGGAAGTATGAGATCCACCCATATTAATGCTCTACTAGCAGACACAGGGGAAATCGACTTAGAATCAAGGAAACAATGGTTAGCCACCAAGTTCGTGCTGTCGAAAATATAGTATACATATTAGAAGCCCTTTGGGGAATATGTAAGTATAAAAATGGATATTGGAAAAAAAGAGACACGCATTATTTAATAAAAGCTATGGAAATAATAGAACCTTTTAAAAATCTGATATACACTAAAGAAATAACACCATGTTTTAGCTTCGATTATGATGTATACATACATAAAATGAAAATAGACAATATAGGAGTGGGTAAAAGTTGCATATCAAATAAAAATCTGTTACACGAAAATATTGAAAAATACAAAGAATATAACATTGTGTACACTGATGCTTCCAAGGTAAATAATCGGGTTGGGTTTGCAGTGGTAATACCGCAGATAAAGTATCAATTTTCATCCAGACTCAATGACTACACGAACATATGTGACGCAGAACTCATAGCTATCCACGAGAGGATGAGAACTTGCTTGGAAAAAACATAAAAAAGCATTATTCTCTCGGATTCTAAAAGCGCCTTGGAAAAAATACACAGTATGACATATACAGCAAAAAGCGATCATATCTCCATCAAAATAAAAAAAAATGGCTTATCTAGCATTCTTGAATGAGACCGAATTCAGATTGGCATGGATACCAGGACAGGAGGAAATAGATGGCAACGAACAGGCGGACAAGCTAGCTAAAGTTGGTACATCGCTCAATGTACCAATGAAAATTGAATTAAACAAGAATAATTTTTTACCAGTCATAAGTAAAGAGATTAAGTCAAAATTCTATAATGAATGGAAACAAAATATACAAGTTAAGGGACGAAAATATGCTAAAATACACCCAGAATTTCAAAGCGATTTGTGGTACAAAAAACATGTCTTCGTAGACAGGACAATTATTCGAATGAAAACGGGTCATTGCATGTGCAAAGAACATTTGTTCAGAATAGGGATAAGTGACAGTCCGTATTGTGAGTGCGGACAAATAGAATCCTTGACACATCACATCTTCTTAGATTGTCCAATCAATGCTGTCCCAGCAATGGATATATATTATCAATTCATGAAAAAAGGGATAACGGCTCTATTTAACATGGAGGAAGTACTTAGAAATTTAAACATGGGTATAGTAAGGGATATTATGAAGTTTCTGGGCTATAACCAGATGAATATATAGCAAGAGAAAAACATATATATTATAATAACATACATATATAAATATACTGATAAAATATATATAGAATAGAAAAGGAAAAGATAAACCTACGTTTTTCAAGTGATCCTAAATCCCTATCGCCAGATTTCCTACTATAATCCAAAAAACCAAGAAATCTCTGTTTGTGCTATCTGTCCAACCCACTAATATTCTTTAAGCACCTCCGATGAGACGAGTGGAGATCGACACAAAAATTTAAAATAAAAGAAGAAGAAGCAGTTATATAACATAACAACCATAGACATAACAACGGGTTGCAATATGATCAAAGATCAGACAACATTGCAATCCCGATTCCGAGATTTGGCGCGTAGTGGTCACTAATATCGAGGAGTCAGTTTAAGAAAATTTATACGGCTAAATTAAATAAAGCCGTCTGAAAGAAAAGTGTGAAGAGTTAATAGTCTGAGGTTGCCGTCATAGTGAGTACCGTTCTTCATCTGCTTGCTTGCAAGGAGCTTTGAGGTAGTGCAGCACAAGAAGCGATCAGAGGTTGAGTTAACAGCATGGCCCCTTCTCCGGGGGGGCAAGAGACTCGTGCACCAGACATTAGTGAGGTAGTGCAAAACCAAATTTCTAATTATCTGTCACCCAAATCATATGAGCTATTAAGCTCATTGCATATATTATCACCTGCTCAAAAGGACGATTTAAATCAACTCAAAGAGGAGATAGCGGCGCTCAAAGAGGAGGTTAGTGTCAGGGACAATAGAGAGGTATTAGAGGAATTGAAAATTATTTCCACCAAAATAGAAAATGCAAAAAGGCGCAAAATAGAATACTCCCAAGGAGATTTTGGACCATTCATAGTGATAGCAGAAGCAAAGAAAAAAAAAGTAGGTAATATGCATCCTTCTGATTTGGCCAACACATTATTCAAACTGGCTATGAGGGGCATTGTCAATGTAGCTCGCAAAGGGGTAAACCGTGTTGGAATAACCTCCTCAACTTCAAATCATGTAAACGGGTTCTTAATGAATAGAGCATTTTTGGAAAAAGGTTTTCTTGCATACATTCCACAAAGTTTATTAACTTGCAAAGGCCTCATAACAGGAGTTGGGTACTCTATTGAAATGGATGATATAATCAAGTATAATGATGCTAAGTGTAAAATTGTAGAGGCCAGAAGACTCAATAAAAGGGGCATTAGAGGTACTGAAGTTAATTTTGAACCTTCTACTACAGTAGTAGTCACATTCGAGTGTAGCAGGTCCAGGGTACCAACCACCTTGAGTTTTTTGCATACTTGTATCAGGTAGAAGCATACATACCCCCAGTAATTCAGTGCTATAAATGTCTGAAATATGGTCATGCCAAGAGACAGTGTAGGGGTAAAAAGAGATGTGAAAGATGTGGAGAGAACCATGAAGAAGAATGTGAGAGCCCTGAGATCAAATGTCTATTTTGCAACAATGCTCACCTAGCTATCCATAGAGGCTGTAAAGAGCATGAAAGACAGCGCAAAATAAACGAAGCAATGGTTTTTCAGAATATTTCCTTTTTCGAAGCTTCAAAATTATTCCCTCCAATCATTCCCCCACCTCCAAGACAAAATTCAAATAGAAGATCCCAAGACTTTCCATCCCTACCTGTGGGGGTCTCGCAAATAACTTCACAGTATTTTTCTAGCCAAGTTTCCACACAACAAAGCTATTCAAGAGTTGTTGCTGGCACAAAAAGAAGGAAAGCACCTTCTCAAGAAGGACTAGGGTATGACGAGTCAGCTCACCAGAGCCTACTGTTTCCATCTCCAGCGAGAACAAAAACAAACTCCATCCCATTTAATTCTCCCCATCAAGCCAGGTCTCAGAAAAATGTTCAAATTGCTGAGCAAGGTAGTGTGCAAAGAGTTTCCGAGGAAAAAGTAATTGTAGAACAAGTTCCCTATTTTGAGGATACCGAGTTGTGCTCGGTTTCAATGAACCAAACAGACCTAAAGGAGGATCAACTATTGGATGAGGCCATGGATGATGACAAAAGTTCATCTTCCAGGCATTCCTCCTATTAAGTTGGTCAAACACTCCTGTGATACCTAAAAGCAACATCATTCAAGCTATTGAAATATACTCTCATAATATCTATGTATATAACGATATATTTTCTTTATACAAATAATCTCTAATTGTTGTGTTAAGTTTAAACTCATTCCTATTGGTTTTATTTTACATAAATGCATTTACAAATTTAGATACATTTTAGAACAACCCAGTACAAATTTACATGTACATATTATAGAGCTTAAATGTACCTTTTAATGGACAGGACGGCCCTTAATTTCATTTCTTAATTTCAACCAAGAGCAATAATAGGGCAAGTCACTTTCCCCTCTCACGACACAACATCCTCTTTGAAGACATAAGTGCTGAAAAGTGTCAACTGTTACACCAGTTTCTGAGCTCTTCTGGATACAAACTTTAACAGTGCACAGATAGAAACTTTTTTATTATTTTATTTCAAGTGATAAGTAGTAGCTTCGGTCATCGCTTTGAAAGACTGAGTAGTTGCCTGCTAATGTGTTGCTGTTGTTTGCTTTAGCTAGTATAGATAATGCTTTGCAGTATCATTTCCCTTGTTGCGTGTGATGCATGTAGAGGTGAAGTGCGAAAAACTATTAGAACTGTTTAATTCCTATAGGAACCTCTACGGGGCATGAGATTCCCCCAGACCTGCCACACGGTGGACCCCAGTAGAAAAGATTAAAATTGATGCGTGTACTTGGCCAGATAGCCCAGGTAGCTAAGGCCATACAAATCGAAAGGAAGAAGAAGAAGGAGAATACATTGCAATCCACGGATAGTAGTTGCCAAATGTGCTATCATGGAAGACCAATAAAATCGTAAGAAGAAGAATTTATGGTTATGTAGGTTTTACTCGTATCGATTTTTGATCTCTTGTTATTCATTAGCTAATGTCTACAGTTTATAGTTGTTTTGTTAGTTAGTTGTTGATCATGGTTATTTTACATGATATAAACAGCAACGACGCCAAGTTCTCTTCTTCTTCTTCTTCTTCTTTTTTCGTTAGCTATACTCTAGTGTGTAATCCTCATTATCAGCTATATTCATACTAGATTTAGAATGTACGTCACAGTTTGCCGCCCCGAAAATCAGAAACTGCTTTATTTTGAAAATTAAAACAACTTGGATTTTATCGATCGCCATTCTGTACAGCGTGGACATAAACTAAGGCGTTCTGGATTCGTTTCATAATTAATCTGCAGGAAACTTCCCCATTATACTCACCAGAATAACATCGGCTCTTTCTACTCCATTATATTTGGTCTGACTGACTTCCTCAAAAACGCTCTTGCCTATTGTTTCAGATAAATTAGCTATCAACTGCTGTATGCTATCTGTAGGGATACTTATATCATCATTTTCCAATACATCATAATATTGAAATCCTATGTTAGTTGAGTTATCGAAAATTGAATTGTAAAAGTGATTTGAATAGCTGTGTTTATGGTCAGCTATTAGAAGACCAGGAAAAGTTGGTATTTTTTTCATGAATGTATGGAGAGAAGCTGGTGGCAGACTATCAGACACATTGTCGAATTTAAGCAGTGGTTTGCCATATTCCACGAGTTTTTCATAGAAACCTAGTACCTATAAAAACTTGGGTTCAATTACTTTACAACTGGAAGACATGTACGGCAATATATTTTTTACCTCATTTCCCTTCGTCAAGTGATGTACAAATAGCCTATCTTTACTGTTGCCCAGCTGACTAACTTCTATGAACAAGCTAACATTTTCTGGACGAATCACTGGTAAGATATTGTCTTCAGCAGCTCCTTTCAGAGGAAAATAACCTTTGAGCATATCAAACAGCATTCTCTGAGATCCGATGTAATCGTATGTCTCACCATTGAATAAAATGAATAAAATATTAGTCTTTTCTGAAAAGATAAAAATTATTAGTCTACTGCCTACTGAAAATAAAGGAAGTTCTGTATATCTTTTATGCTACTTGAATAAAATATTTTTTTATTCCATTCTAATTTAATAATGAAAAATTTGCAGTGTAAATGTTTAAACGGACTTATATTTCATGAAAATAATTGGACATATCTGAAAAACCTTTGTGAAGCTGCTGTAGTATCTATGATCATTCCATTTCTTTATTACATAACACTCTAACAGTTTACGAACCGGAACGGATCAAGATTTTTTTGCAAACCGGAACGCCCTGGATAGCTGTCCCATCCAAGGGGTACCGATCACCCTTGAAATCTGGCCATGGAATTTGATTGATTCGGAAAAAATTGCATGAGATGCTCTACAGATCCAGAAGTGAATGTGTCATCAAGGTGTAGTTGTCAAAATGTGACCTTATGTGAATTGTTCTCCAATGAACGGTGTCTAAGAAAATGTGGAAAGTCTCTGGGATTCAGAGAGTACCAGAAAAAATAATCTTTTCCTCGGACACCCAGTACTTCATTTCTAGTGACGATCCGATCTTCGAAAACTTTTAATATATTTAGTTCTCTGAAAGCTCTGTATCCTGGTAAGTATACATTATTGAAAGTTTGAAAGCATAATATTAGGTATTTTTTCATACAAAAACAAATACCCCAATCGATTTACGCACATCAGGAACCCTCAAACTCCAAGTTTCAATATCTTAACTTATGTTTGGATGTATGACGAATTTATATTCATCATACAGAGCGTGGAAAGAAATCCTGAATAGAGAAAACTTGCCATCGTTCAAGATTGAATCCCTTGATTGAGTATGAAAGTATCGAAAAGGAATATTCTCAGATATATTATGAACATGAAATAATTTAAAAACTTCACAAATGGTAAAATAAAAAATTTGGTACATATAAAGAAATACATTGAGAATTCGCATTCTCTAGGTTTATGATGAAAATAGTAATTCTTTCTCGGATTATTCAACAGCGAACAACTACTTTCCTGGCTATATGCCATCACGAACATTGATGAATTATATCTATTGAACACACAAAATAAGAATATGAAAATAAAATCTTCTGAAGTTGAGAATTCGCATTCTCTGTCAGATAAAATATATATGAAAATGATATCATTCTGACTTTTAGGCACTCTATTAGCTATTAGCACAGATTCACAGAGGGAAAACTTCACCGTTTCACATTGTTTTGGCAGTTTTCTTTACCAAAGTATCTCTCATGTTGATATTGCTCATTGCCGGGAAACTAGAGTATACATTGTTGGAGGATCCATAGTTTCTGTTACATCGACAAAATAACATACTGTATAATACATTTGTAATAATTGGAAAGTTGGCTGGCCATGTAAGTTTTTCTGATATATTTGACTTTGTCAGAATAATACGTCAAGACAAAAATAGACAATTGTTACTGAAAGACTGTGACTCAATAATAGTGTTCTTTCGAGCTATTTGTGTGCCAGAGAGAAGAAAAATCATAAGATATGGATAACCCAAAAATATAAGAACAAGGCAGACAGCTGGTGCCAACAGGTACTCGAACTCTGATTATGTTTGGCCACCAGGATTCGGCCAGACATCAGGGATGACAATGGAAAACATTCCGATGGCAAATCCAGAGGCAATCAAAGACGATGGCGAAAAAGATGCAATTGAAATAACCCGTTCACAACATACACCTTCCATAAGGTCTAACAACTCGCAAGTAAGTGTTGACTTATAACAAAAAAGACAGGCTTTAGAAACAGAAAGAGCTAAACAGAAAATAGTAGAACAAATTCTGAGAAATAAATTGAGACTAATAGAAATGGAATGACAAATGAAACAGGCTGAAATTTTAGGAAATGAAAGATGCTCTGAAACTTCCAGAATAAACTCAAGACCTGCTTCCATAAAGAGTTTGTACCCTGGGGTAATTGCACAAGATCCTTCGGTTGATACAACGTCGCATACATCATCGGAACGGTCATACATTTCTAATTGGATAAAAAATATTCCTGAAGAAGTTGACGATAACAGTCAGCAACAAACTCAAGAAAAATCAGACATTAAACTCTTACGTGAAACTCTTGGTAATATGGTTAATGCTGCTACAACCTCATCTAAAATAGATACTTTGCTAGACGGCATTTATTAGTCAATTCCGAAGAATAGCATCTCTCCGTGAATATACTTCTGAGGAAATTATTTCAAAACTCCACAAGTGCCTCAGAGGAGAAGCAAGGTCGGCTGTTGTAGGAATGATGGTAGCCCCCGGAAATGTAGATATTGTCATTAAAATTCTAGAAATGCGTTTCGGGAGACCAGATCAAATTCTAAAGGTTTTAATATCTAGAATAAAATCCTTTTTCCCGGTGAAAGATTACGATATGGAAAGACTTATTCAACTATCTAACCAAGTTCGATGTCTGGTAGCTACAATTACCTCTTTGAAATTTCCAGAAGGACATCTAGAAAGCCCACAAGTTTCGAAAGACCTTGTACTGAAACTACCAGATATGCTCAAACTACGATGGGGAAAAGGTCATGATGAATGACGGCATGGTGAACCTGAAACATTTCTCTGACTGGCTGAGTGAAATGGCCACAGCTGATAGTTACATTATTACTCCAAAAATGTATCGACCCACTCAGAATAATTCTACACCCTATAGAAGACGAGAAATATCTAAAGACAACAACTTCAAGAGACTTTTGTTCATATTGTAATGAAAAAGGTCATAAATTCAGAAACTGCTCGGTAATCAGAAAAGATGATATAGATACCAGATGGGCAAAGGTGACAAAAAACAAACAGCTTTTCTTATTTGAAAAGTGGTCATCAAACAAATAAATGTAAATACAGAGGATCCTGTAATCGACCACATAGCTCCCTTTGCATAAAAATGATAATAAAGACAATGAAAGACTACCAACAACCAACATACGGCAAGCTCAGAGTACAGATCCGACAGACAGTCCAATGGAAGCTAACCCCACAGTACTGATTATTCAAAATAGGGATAACAAAATTCTGCTGAGGATGATCAAAGTCAAACTGTATGGAGAAAATGGTACATCAGTTGAAACTGTAGCTTTATGTCACATTAATTGATAACACTTCAATAGAATTAGAATTTCAAGGGAGACGACAACCACTCTGTATTCAATGGACTCATGACATTTTTTCATGACATAAAGATTCAACCATCATGGATTTAGGAATTTCTGGAATTTATAAAGATTCAAAACTATTCCAACTTAAAAATGTTATATCAGTTGAACACCTGGCTTTACCTCTACAAAAAATTAATCCACAAGAATGCAAAAAATACCCACATCAGAAGAATATTCCGCTTTCAGTAATAAATGAACAACCTACGGTTCAACTAGGACAAGACAACATTAAACTGACAGTTCCCAGAAAAATAGCACAAGGTCCTGATTATCTACCCATAGCGACAAAAACTAATCTAGGTTGGACTTTACATGAAATTGCTGAGAACAAGGGAATAAAAGCATATTATTCATATCACATTTGTAATCAATTATTGTCGACCGAAGCTAGTAAAACATTCGTTTTCATTGGATTCATATGGAATTACCCCTATTACAATTAAAAATAAAGAAGTGGTTAGAGCAATCAAAATAATGGAAGAAACTTCGAGACGAGAAAATGGAAGATATAAAATAGGTTGCTATGGAAGTCAGGCGATTTTATACTACCAAATAGTAGACCTACAGCATTTCAAAGACTATTATGTATAGAGCGACAAATGAAAAAAGACGAAAACTTCAAGTTCAGATACTGTGATAATATAAAGAAATATGTTCAGAAAGGTTACGCTAGGAAATTAACAAATGAAGAAGCTGCTATAGAAGGGCCCAGATGTTGGTACCTTCCCCACTTTGGAGTTGTTAAACCAAACAAGCTGGAAAAACTTCGACTAGTTTTCGACGCTGCCGCAAAATCTCACGGGATGTGCACAAAAATGAATATCTCCTCACAGGCTCAGACTTACCACAATCTCTCGTTAGTATTTTGATCAAATTTAGACAAAGGAAAATTGAATTTGCCAGTGACATACGAGAAAATTCGAAAAAAATTTCTCCTACGTGCGCACAATTCATCAAAATTGTAAATGCAATGGAACAGACCACAGATAAACGAATTCAAACAGCAATTATTAAAAAACACTATGTAGACGATTATTTGGACTGTAAGGATACAGAGAAGCAAGCTCAATTACTACTACATGGAGTAAGACGAATTCAAAAATTGGGAGGCTCTGAATTGTAAAATTGGACCTGTAATTCACAAAATTTATTGAAGAATCTATCCCAAAATAAAGATATCTGCAAAGACTTAAACCTGACTCATAACGATAATCCTATACAAAGAGTTATAGGACTTCCCTGGAAACCGCGCGAAGAATGTCTGTTATTCCGATTCAAAAACAATGCATCCGCAGATGAAGAAAAAATTACTAAAAGACAAATTTTGAAAATAGTTATGTCGATATTTGACCCATTAAGACTAATAGTGAACTTCACAGTAAGAGGACGTATGTTCATTCAAGATTTATGGAGATCTGGAATCGGATGGGACGATGACATCAACAAACAACAACTCAAAGTATGGAAGTTATGGCTGCGAGGACTCCAAAAAGTTCATGCTATCACTATCCCGAGATGTTACTCGACCAATATTTAAAACGCTGAAACAATCGAACTACATGTATTTTGCAACAGCAGCAAAAAGGCCTTCGCCGCCGTAGTTTAATTGAAGATAGTATCAGAAGATATGGTTGAGGTATCATTGGTATTTGGAAAATCCCGAGTAGCTCCAACGAAGCCGATTTCAATCCCAAGATTAGAACTACAAGCAGCCTTGATAGGAACAAGAATAGCATTAAAAGTGAAAGAAGAACTCGAATTCAAGATTGACGATACCTATTTTTGGTCAGATTCAACAACAGTCCT